ACTAAAGTCTCTGAGAGAGAAAAAGGCCATTCATCTTTCATCCTTCTTTGGCAATTTCCTTCCAGTTTCCCTTAACAAACACTTACCAGTTAATCAGACATCACAACTGACGGTCTTGGTATACTGATGTATCCCCAAACAGTTCAGGATGTGCTAAACAACAACCCCTTTGGGTCTGGAGGGGGCGGATAGAGTGTTAGGGGCTGGGGTAGCAGGAGCCCTCTAGAGGCAGTTGCCTCAGTACATGTGCCATGATGTGAAAAAGACTGGGAAACATTAGGATACAAGACTGGTTAGAAACACTGCTGGAAAAAACTAAAAATAGCCTGAATGCCATAAAAAAGGTAACGCTCTTTATGTACCAAATTGAAAACCTTCCAAGACATGTAAGTGTAGAGTAGCAAGATGTGCATAGTACGTAAAGCATGCTACCATTGTATAAAAGGGGTAAGATACACAAACTCAACTGCTTATATACAGGACAGAGGAGCCTGGCATGCTGCAGTCCGTGGGGTCGCAGAGTCAGAAATGACTTCGGGCCTGAGGGTGTAACTGTAAAGGTGTACTACGGTGACTGACTTTTGGGGGAACCCAGTGGTTGGAGATAAAGGTGGGAGGACTTCTCTTTGTAAGCCCTTTGCATGTATGAATTTTGAACCACGTGACGGCATTAACTATTAAAAAGATCTTTAAGTTGCTAAAAATGGGCTTCCCTTGTGTGGCTCAGCTGGTAAAGAATCTGCCTACAATGCGGGGGACCTGGGTTCAATCCCTGGGGTGGGAAGATCCCCTGGAGAAGGGAAAGGCTACCCACTCCAGTATTCTGGCCTGGAGAATTCCATGGACTTTATAGTCCGTGGGGTTGCAAAGAGTCGGACACGACTGAGAGACTTTGACTTTCACTTTAAGTTGCTATACCTATCTATTCCTGTTACTAACTTTCATTGGTAATGATTATTTTCTACCCCCAAACACATTCATTACTAGTCAAACACTGAGTTAAAATAATACAAGAAAGATCTTGATGCTGGTTACCCAGCTGTGTCCAGTTCGCCAAAACCCACTGAGCTCTGCACTTAGTTATGATCTGTGTACTTTTCCAGAGACATAACATATATTTCAATAAGAAATGAAGATGAATGAGTTACTTGGCTCAACTTTTTTTGTCCCTCCTATTAAAAGAGTACTGTGTGGTATAATATGTCATATATTTGCCTAAATAAATTACTGTTTCAAACTGTTCAACATTTCAAACTGTTCAATAATGTTTCTTAAGAAAAGAATGTGGGTTAGTGATACCGACCCCATGTGACAAGGGAGAATCAGGCTTGCAAGCTCCTCCTGACTTCTCCACTGGCATCAACAGTCTCAAGGCCCACACTCCGCTGCGAGGTCCTCTCAGTGGGAGGCTTTAACAAACCTTGAAGAGCATTACTAAAAACTACTTAATGGTTTACTATATTTAAGTCACATTTTTTCATTATGAAAATGTTTTGAAAATGCCGAGGTCATGAAAAACAAAGAAAGAGGCTGTGCAAACATCCCAGATTGAACAGACATGACAACCAAAGGTAATGCCTGACCCCAGGAGGGAGGCTGTAATGGAGAAGGAAGAGATGTTGCTGCGACTTTACTGAGTCTACAGACATCATGTTTAATTTACTTAAGCTGTACTCTGGTCGTATAAGAGAATTTCTGTATTTGTAGTCAAAATACACTGACACTGTTTAAAGTAAAGGGCCACAAAGAAAGCTCCCCTTAAACGGTGGCTGAGTGTGTCTATGTCTCTGCACCGGAAGGAATAGGGGGGCAAGTGGGAATACAAGCAAATGACGGCACAAATGGATAAAACACTAACAGGTTACTCTGAGTGTAGGCTTGCATTTTTTTTAAAATTCCTGTAATGTTCCTATAAAATTAAAATGATTGCCAAATAAAGTTTTTAAATTCATGTATTAAGAATCAGCCACTAATAATAGACAAAACAGGGACTTCTCTGGTGGTACAGCGGTTAAGACTTCACGCTTCAAATGCAGGGGGTCACGAGTTCAATCTACGGTCAGGGAACTAAAAAAAAAAGTCAAAACAAGTGTAGAAATGAATCTGAATTTTGATTGACAGTTGCTCCCGAGGAGCCACTTTAATTATGTAAGTGTAATCCCAAGGCATTATTTGGGACTTGCAAAAAGGAAGGAAAAAAAAAAATTACACCTTCTGGCTAGGTTTATAATAGTACCTTCCAAGATCCAAAGCTTAACATAACTGTCTTTAATATAAGACTCCAACTCAATAATTTCTCATAATGTGAGCCTTAACAGAGAATCTAGATTTTATAGAAAGTTTAATAAAAGTTCCTCATCCACGTAAGGGATTATGGTGAACACAACAATAAATTCTAATAACTTCTCAGGTTAGAACTGCTTAAAGCCCTACATAAGGGGAAAGAGAAAAGAAATCAAAATTCTAACAAAGTGGTAAATGCCTCAGTAGAATTCTTAAAATGACAGTGATAAACTCTATGTGAAATGCAAAATTAAATTTACAGAAAAATATATATAAAGTTCCTGTGGCCCAAGGAAGGGAAGAATTTCCTAAGACATGAAAAGCACAAACCACACAGGGAAAGAATGGTGAATTAGACTACACTTAAATTCATAACTTGCATATATTAAAAATACCATATTTAAAGTGAAAAGAGAAGCTACACTCCAGTGAAAGATTGCTGCTGTTGTTGAGTTGCTCAGTCAGGCCCGACTCTTTGGACCCCCCAGGCTCCTCTGTCAGTGGGATTTCCCAGGCAAGGAAACTGGAGCGGGCTGCCATTTTCTCCTCCAGGGGATCTTCCCAACCCAGGGATTGAACTCGAGTCTCCTGCAATGGCAGGTAGATTCCCTACCTCTGAGCCACCGGGGAAGGCCCAGGTAAAAAGATATTCTCCCACAAAAGGAGAGTCATCTGGTATAAGCCCTGTGGAGGCCAAGCCAGCAGGATCTAGAAAAAACTGTCATCAGGCTTTAGAGAAATGCAGAGAAGTGGGGCCAGCATCCAAGGTGACTCAGGAGATCCTGGGCAGGGACAAGCAGTGATGTGTCACACAAGCAGTGAAGGGGGCTTCCCCCCCCACCAGGCCCTTTTTTTAATAAGGTCATTTACCAGACCCATCAAGTCTAACCAGCAGTTCCAAGTATACAGATGGGATGATTCCAGCACCCTCACTTCAGGCCTTACAAAACTTTGGCGATCACATGGTAAAAAGAGAAATGGCCCCTCAAACTGGCTCCCGACCCCTACAACCTCAGGATACTACTCTCTCCCTCCATCTTGGCATTAACGTTAGGTCTAAGTTCCCAGTAAGTGAGGACACCGAGTGTTGCTGTCTATCTAGCAGCGTGTAAGATCTAACGGTGTGACCACGCTGGGACAGACTTGCATAACAGGTGGTGTGAGAAGCCAAGAACCCACCCACTGAGGCAGGAGACAGAAGAGACACGGGCTCCACCCCTGGTGGGGAAGGTCCCCTGGAGGATGGCACTCCACTCCAGTACGCTTGCCTGGAGAACCTCATGAGGAGAGGAGCCTGGTGTGCTACGCTCCGCAGGGTCACAGGGAATTAGACACGATGGAAGCAACTTGGCACGCACATGGCACATCTCAAAGGCAGGCCTATCCTCTACATTTCTAGCAAGAAAGCTAGCTCCTCAGAGTTCAGGGGCAGTATAAAGCACTCCAAAATACAGAGGGCATTACACATTTTAAGAATAATGAAACATGTTCAAGTTATAACTACCTAATTAAGGATGAGGAAAATGCAAGAATACCGTTAGCTGTATTTTGTTTAAAACTCCACGAAATTCCCGAATAGCTTTCCTGGCAGCAAAAATCCATGAAAACAGAATCCACCCTAGATCCAAGGAGCAACAGCTGGTGGATGGGGAGGCAGGGGAAGAGACAGAGATACAGGGTTCACTCTGATAGCATTCTGATTTAAAAGGCATCTTTTACAATTGGAAACTAGGAAGACTACTTCTTGTATACTTGAAAGTGTCCACTTCCCTAAAAGTTCAAACAAAAGAAACAGTATGATTAGGAGACATTTCAAAAGGAGTCTAGGGAAAAGACAAGTACAGGCAAGAACACCATTTCTTCACATAAGCACTTCAGAAAATTAACTGAAGACAGGCTAACAGTTTACATCTGAAGCTGCGTCTCTTTTTCTTGGGCAAAGGTCTAGCGATTCCCTCTGTGCCTCACAACTATCAGCAGTTTATCCATCTAAACACAACACAACCTAAATAATTTTTTCCATTCTGACTAATATCACATCCTGCAACTGCAGGCAAGAGGTGAACATCTGCCAATAAACACAGAAAAGTCAAAAGCTAACTCATATTCTCCAGAACTATTAAAAAGAAAACATCTCCAAGTAGGTTTCCTACAAAAAATTGCACTTATGTATCAATATAACTCATAAACTGCCTATTCTGAAAGGAAAACTATATTGCAAACTTACAGATCTTAGTAACTGTAAAAAAGTCAAGGTCTAAAATAAATGCAAACCCAAATACTGTCAGTTGTTTTACATCATTACTCATTTTATGAATTCAAAACATGTAAGTCTCTAAACTGTGTGGGTCAGCATGACCAGATGAAAGGGGTCAGGCCTTTGGAAGAAAAAGGACACTCTTGCAAATCACATCTGCAGAATCAGAAGTCAGAGTAAATGAATCTTCAGGAGAATCATGAAAGTATCACCATGACCTGTATTAATCCTTTTCATTGGGTCCCAGAAGCCATCATTAACTAAAATTTTAGGACCAAAGTACAGAAGGTAAATTTAAAAGCTAAGAGAAAAGGTAGTAAGAGAGAACTCAAAAGAACTAATGTAAAAATATATAACAACTTAGTATCAGTTGTTAAGCATTAAGGAGGACATTGTCATAGTTTCCTATGACTGGTCCAGAACTAATGACAAAATCAACAGATTTTCTTCTTGTTCTTACCTCGTAAGACCAGACACACTGCACGCCTGCAAACCTTCGGACACATCTTCCCACCTCAACGTCCTCGTGGGTCGTGTACATTTCCCGGAGGCACTTGCCGATGTGTGGGACCATTCTCCGGAGAACCTCCCGGCTCATGATCACACCAGGCCCCCCCATACAGAAGTTCTCGCCAGGTTCCAGAGCAAGCTTCCCCATTTCTTCCGTGGTGCCCAGTCCCGTCTGCCCAAGAAAGAGGGGTTCACTACTATTCAAACTCCTCAGAAAACTCTCCAGGCGGTCTCCTTTGATGTAAACATCATCATCTGCTCTCATAAACCATTCGTATTTGTCCAAGTAGTGGTCATGCATGTACTTGAGCATCATGAAAGACTTCTTCTGGGGCGGGTAGGAGTCGTCCACGCCCCGTAGTGGCACCACTGGAATTGAGATCGATGTGTCTGAGCCCTCACTAGAGAAGAATTCAACTTTCCCAGGAATTGTCTTGGACCACGTCCTGGAATTAAAATAAACATCAGTGAGAGAACAGTTTATTCCAAGCTTCCCATTTCTATAAATTCCAATATTGACTCATGTTGAATCACTGTACATTCAAAAGGATGATAAAAAGCTATATGCTTGCTTCTCCTTAACAGAAGCCCACACTACCGGGTATTGCAAAGTTCTAACTTGTTTTCAAAGGAATCCCAATAAAAAAGAATGATGGATATTAAAATATTTCCCAGACAACTTTGTTTTGGCTAAGGCTGAAAAATCGCCAGGGCACCAAGTCTAGATATTTAGGTTAATTTTCTGATACTACTGACTCCCTACCTATAAAACCCTCTGCTCTATAAAACAAAAGATTACAAAATAAAATTGTTCATTCAACACATTTTCTTGGAACGCTCATCAAGTGCCAAGTATGCGTGAGGCCACAGGGATGCAGTGGTGAGCAAAACACAGACCCTCCAGCTGAAGTGCAATCAACAGAGGGCAGAGACACATCTCTCTCCAAGAGAAAGGATGCGAACTAGAGCAGAAGAGGGACTGCTTCCTGAGGCGGGGGACCTCAAGCAGGAGAAGCAGATCCAGAGCCCAGGGGCAGTCTCGGGGGGAGCAGGGGAAAACTGCAGGGCCCGACGGCCCCCCAGCAATGGGGCCTTTATGCTTTAAAACATCAGGAAGACACTGGAATCAAGGTGAAGGGCCCTGAGTTCTGGAACATAAGTGTTTCATAGGAAATTGCTCATCCCACTGCCAGAGGACACATTACGGGTTGACTAAGAGAAAACAGTGACGAATTCTGCTGCCAAACAACAGATTTAAGGCCATCAGATTACATTTTTCCTTATGCTTTCTTTATGCTACGTATTAAGAGTTGAAGCAGTCTAGCTACAAAAATACAAACGACTTCTAGAAAAAACATATCATAGAGAATAAATGAAACTGTACATTTAGCCTTAATACAGTCAAAAAGCATAGTTTCCAAATGATGTTCTTTCCAGTATAGTCTTATTGTATGTAACTGTTACAATTGTATTTATTATAGTGAAAAGCGACTGAAAGATCAATGAAAAACATGTATGTTCTCTGTAGGCTCAGACAATGGTTAGCAATTTTAGCAATATAATGTTTTAAAATTAGCATATGTACATTATTTTTAAACATAATGATACTGCACACTTAAAAGACCACAGTTTAGCATAAATATAAATTTTATATGCAGTGGGAAGTCAAAAAAACTGTGTGACTTGCATTCTTGTGATACTTGTTTTCCTGCAGCAGCTACGAATTTCCAGTGTAACTATGAGATATGCCTATATTGCCAGTTGTAATCACATAATGCCAGCAACTGTAAAATGATCTTCACTTCAGAGATGCTAAAATGCGAAAACAATGTACATCTTCGAATGTATATAGTATAGTAGTTGTAATGAGTGCTAAGTCGCTTCAGCTGTGTCCAACTCTTGTCCACCCCATGGACTGTAGCCCACCAGGCTCCTGTCCATGGGACTCTCCAGGAAAGAATACTGGAGTGGGCTGCCATGCCCTCCTCCAGGGATGGATCTTTCCAACCCAGGGATCGAACTTGCACCTCTTCTGTCTCCTGCACTGGTATGTTCTTTGCCACTAGCGCCACCTGATAAAATTTTCCCTTAATGCCTATGGATTTAAAATGGACCTATGGGTCTTATGCCACTTACAGAATCCTTAACAAAGAATTTGGCATAAATGAAACCTGACTGGACTACAGAAAATATACCGGGTTACTACATTTTTACAAATGATATGCTCCTGAAAAGAAGTATGTAAACACAGCAGGAATGAGGCAATTAAAGAGAAATCAACCCCTCCCGTAAAAAGAAAGTCCATTTTAAAATGGGACTGAGCCCCAACCTACACAAAATATGATAACTTATATATCAGTCCCTGGCATGTAATAGTGTTCAGTAATTACTGCTCATCCATGTGAAGTGACTGAAAGATACCTTTGTACATGTGTGGGCATGTGAAAGGGAAGAAACCATTTGTTTCTTATCTTTGAAAAATTTCCAAGAGGGCCACATTAATATTCCTATGTGCAAAAAGAAACCAATTTTATCAAAACACAATCAGAATACAATTATTAAGAGGTAAAATCCACAAGCATACTTGAGTTGAAATATACTACCATTCATGCTATTTCTGAAATGCAATTTAAAGCTAAATAGTCTGTTGTATCTCACAACTGATTTTAAAAGGGTAATGAATAAAATCAATTTACCTTTAGCTTCCATCCAACTGCTTCTGTGATTAACAACACAGACCAAGTTCAAAGTAGTACTAAAGTAGTCAATCCTAGAAGCCATTAAAATACTAAAGCATCATGGGATTATCTGGAATACAGGGGCTCTAAGACAACATCTACCTTCAGAGGAAAAACCTGCTCTCAAGACACAATACAGTGTGTGATGGCTAAAACCATGGACTCAGGAATCAGGCTGTTGGGGTGCAAATCCTGCCTTCACTTTGGGCAAAATATTCTGTGCCTATGTGAACTGGGGATAATAAAAAATATCTGCTTTATAGGGTTAGGGTGAGGGGTAAGAGGATTCTTATATCTAAAAACGCCAGCCTGGCACGAGATAAGCAAGTACACAGGTGTTAACTCATTAGAGAAGACAAGTGTTTGCAAATAAAATAAGGTACTGAAATAAAAACAAGAGAGATAGGAAACAGTGGGCTGAAGAATAGTTGGTCTCAAGATGACACACCAAAGTGAAAGCACGGAGATAAATGCTGCTTCTCTTATTTCTGGCTGAAAACCTGTCCCTTAAGCTATATGACAAGTTCTATCATATGAACCTCAAGACAACATCAGGGTGCAAGTCTAAAAAGACTTAAAAGTCTTCTCACTTAAAACACTGCAATCCTTCATACTAAACTGAGGATAAAAACCCATTTGGTCTGGCTCTGCTTCCCAAGGCTGCCCCAAAGAAAACGCAGAGATGGAAGCACTAGCAGTACACCCATCAGTGAAGGGATTAATACTTGAACTGTAACCTGAAATGGCATTAATTTGTCCAGGAAGAGCAAGTAACTAATTTTAAAAACAGACAATCTAACTTCAAATCATCTTTGAAAGCCTCGCTGAAGTTTTAAGGTAACACCAACCATTATTACCTTTTCCCCAGGTAACCCAAAGAAAAATCTCATGCTGCCCTTTTGCTTAGATGGCTGGTGATTTGAGGGAAATCTCTCAATATGGAGTTGTTGTAAATCCTTTAATCTCGATAAATTACAATCTTTAAATTTAGGATACCTTTAGCTTAACTAGTTCCATAAAGTTAAAGAGTTCTGGAACACAAATCACAATTCACCACCCTGAGGGAACCAACGTGAGGGCATTGATAATTCCAAAGAAATGAAATAAATGCTACTGAAGAAGCACACTGCCCTGCCCTTTCTGAGACAGAAACAGGTTAGCATCCTTAATTTTCATAAGCAAACGTCAACTTTGCCATCAACACATATGTAACTGGGGGGAAAGAGCTCTCACTTAATTGAAACCACTCAACATCTGAATGAGTCCCTGCCAGAAAGCTCACTTTTCAATGAGCTGATAACCAACTCTTGCTAAAGCAGACAAGATAACTGAAATCTGCGAATGCCAAGCCAATAATCTTCCTTTCCTCCAGGCTTCCAAACTCTGCCCCTATACCGAGTTAAGTCACAGTGAAGTCACGCAGCTGGACAATATTAGCTTCGCTGAGGAATGCCTTTGCTGAACTGGGATTTAATAACAGTCTCCATTTCTATGTCACTTTAAGAAAAACTACATAAAATACATTTCTGTACAAAACCACATTTACAGCATGCGTACCATCCTGGGTACACATTCATGTAGGTAAATTTTAAAAGCAAGCAATAGAATACTCATGATACAGATTAATAGGGGAACAAAAGTACACACACAAAGTAAAATAATGTACAACTCTACCCCAAAGTGTTTACTATAGTTATTTTTGGATAGAGGATCAGAAAGGGATTTACTTTTCTTCATGTTTTCTACAACAAATACAGTTACAGGAAAAAAATTTAAGTCTTAGGGAAAGCTTCAAACTAAAAAGCATTCAAAGAAATAGAACTTGACAGGAGATAATTTTACTCGTGTAACACTTTTTACTCTATTCACCAGGAAAAAAACAAACAGAAAAATGGAGTAAGATTGAGTGCTTTTCTTTCACATTTTCTAAGCTTCTTCAGTTTTATAAATAAGGGGAGATTTTCTGTGAGTTGCCCCGAATCACTATTACATTATGTGGTCTGATGGTTACAGTGTAAGTTTGAAAGGACTCATATGAATCAAATCATTTTGCAATTTCTAGTCAAGGAAGGGAGAATATAGTTTTCCCCTACGAACTGATAGGTTTGTTTGTTCAGTCACGCCCGATTCTTTGTGACCCCATGGACTGCAGCATGCCAGGTTTCCCTGCCCTTCACTATCTACCAGAGTTTGTTCAAATTCATGTTCACAGTGAGTCAGTGATGCCATCCAACCATATCACCCTCTGTAGTCCCCTTCTCCTGCCCTCAATCTTTCCTAGCATCAAAGTCTTCTCCAATGAGCTGGCTTTTTGCATTAGGTGGCCAAAGTATTGGAAGTTCAGCATCAGTCCTTCCAGTGAATATTCAGGGTTGATGTCCTTTAGGATGGACTGGCTGGAGCTCCTTGCAGTCCAAGGGACTCTCAAGTCTTCTCCAGCATCACAGTTCAAAAGCATCAGTTCTTCAGTGCTCAGCCTTCTTTACAGTCCAACTCTCATATTCATACATGACTGCTGGAAAAACCATAGCCTTAACTAGATGGACCTTTGTTGGCAAAGTGATGCTTCTGCTTTTTAATGCTGTTTGTCTAGTTGGTCATGGCTTGTCTTCCAAGGAGCAAGAGTCTTTTAATTTCATGGCTGCAATCACCATCTGCAGTGATTTTTCGAGCCCCAAAAATAAAGTCTGTCACTGCTTCCATCATTT